TTTTACAGAATTGTCAAGAAAAAGGTGAAACAATTTGGTGAAAAAGCACTAAAAATTGTGTGTAGCATGTGTGGCATGAGCTATTTATTACAGAACTCTTAACACTTGAGTGACCAGTCAACAGATAGACTGCTTTGTTAGTGACTTAAATTCTTTAGTTCCAAAAACATTGCACTAAGAAGAAGAATATATACGTTTACAAGAGACTTGAGATATACAAAATTTACAATCTTGTGGTTTGCAGGAACAGTTTATTTTTGCTATGAAACAACTCAAAAAGGTTAATCCTACTTTATAAAAGTGGTTCAAGGTGATTTCTTCTACTTTCGACAGTGCAATACTACCAAGGACTCTTATGTTCGAATAAATATGTCACAGAACTTTCTGAGGAGGAAATTCGTATAGCGAGATTATTAAACACTGTAGAGCCAAAGAACGATCTCCATGGGAACCACATCTCACACAGATTTATCTCCATCCTGAAAACTATGTTTACAAAAGAGCAAACTCTGACCCGTAAATCCATTAATTGGAAGCTGGGCATGTCTCGTGGTTTTGTTGATGAGAAAACATACTAAGAATTGAACATGAAGGAAACTCACAAGTCCAACTTCACAATTTTCCAGCCACATCTCAAACCTACCACTGTTTTCTTTAGAAACTAGAATCACAGTAATTTATTTAATTAGATACCGATCAAGTCCACCAATACAATTCCATTAGACTTTTGTACCGTTGAAAACCGATGTTCAAGCAGAGCGAAGGATCTGAGGAAACCTTCACAAGGTGTTTGGCCTAAGTTTGACATCACCATCCTTTAGTTTGACCTCACCATTGTTTGGTTTGACTTCAACATCCTTTGGTTTGACCTCAACATCCTTCGGTGTGACATCACCATCCTTTATACTGACTTCATAATTCTTCAGGTTGACCTCACTATCCTTTGGTTTGACCTCATCATCCTTCAGTGTGACATCACCATCCTTTAATTTGACTTCACCATCTTTTGCAGTATAAAACAATAATACGCAACTGTGGCCATCTGATGAGTATGATGGACAATATATAAAGTGTAAACCTAAAACATCGTTCTTACAAAGCGCAATTAACCCTAGTTTATAAAATACATAACAAGTAGTCCATGATGAAGTATGAAATATTACATACGAAAACACCGGTATTTTGTTTTCTTTGTTTGTCTCCTGTAAGAAAAATTTTGCTGTAAAAATTGACGATTCTTAACTACCATAAATATGTAAGAAGAAATTCCACTAACTTTAACAATGTTGGTACTTATTGATTTTAGGTTATGCAGAAAATGCTACCTTAGTATTAAACCAGCTCACAAACTATAATAATCATACATTGGAGAAGGTTCATCTTAAGAACCATGCAGAATCTATAGTTTGGTGTTGACTTTAATTTGGGTTACAAATCGTATAGAAGAAATCAGATGTTGTCAGACTGTATTAAGAATGTTTATAAATCACGTAAAATGAAAGTAAGCCTTATTAACGTTAATACCGTCGCGAGAAACTTTCATTTTACGTGATTTATAAACATTCTTAACGTTAACACAGTCGCGAGAAACTTTTATTATTATCAGTGCCATTCTTTCAACATCCTTACTTGAATGTATATGATTTGCAATACGTATAGTCACAGATTCTGAAAGAGGTATTGATCAACGATCTGTACTGTGTATATGATATGAATACTCTTAATAAAAGATGATGACCAAAACAATTCACAATCATGATATTTGCCATAACAATTTCGCCAAATATAAATACGTAAATAAAGAATTATCTAAATTAATATTCAGTGTATCAAGCAGTTGAAGTCTTTATGAAACTGACAGATCTATGTACATGTTACTGATGTCTGAGTTTAATAACACCAGTCTCTTAATTATCAAAACATAACATTATATAGGAGTCTTTTTTCCTTTGAATCTTCAGTGGGGTTTAGCCTGGAGCTGTATGTGTATGTGTAGCATCATACTTCACAATCTGGGATCCTTATGATGTCCTCCCCATTAATCCTGCATGGGGTTATGATTGTATACACATACAGTAACCCGGCGTGAAGTTGGAAAGCGTGGGTTCTGGAAATATCCCCTTAACGTTGGTCCATCACTCCGGTGTACTTGTACCATCCCAGTGGATCTATTTCAGCTTCACTGGCCTCCAAATTAATCCAAAATTAGATTATCTATAACTACAACACTCTATTACAAGTGTGACAGCAGTGTTTTCATATACAAATACGTAGAAGTTTCTTTATCTCTCAATAGATGGAGAAGATATTAAACTATTATAAAAAGTAATTTAAAACTCAAAAGAAGTAACAACATTTCCAATATCAACCTTTATATTTACATTATGAATAATCATTATTGCAAATCTTTTTCATTATTCATAATATAATATCTAGCATTCTACTAACTGAAGCTTAACATATTCGTTTATTTTAACCAATCTCATCATTTGTTTATGTGAGACTGAAGAGAATGCATGAATGTGTTGAAACAGACTTCTGACAGTTTGTTCCATTTACTGTGGTTTTTAGATGATATTGTGTTATTTTCTCCAAGAGGATAGACCAGCTTGATTAATATATAACAGTAATATTATTCCGTTCTTCTACTACACGTATTGTTGTGGTGAAATAATAAAAAGGAAACTCACTACTTAGCAATGAATTCAGCTTAAACATTTATTACTTCTATATTTCATAATAATGTTATTTTTCGTCGCTAGATGGAAGCATGTAATGTTTATATACAATGACAGTTTCGGACTTATATATTTTTTAATTTCTGCTTTCAAAAGAAATACCACAGGAAATCTAGTTATATCCCCTTATAATACTAAGGAAACAAAATTTCGTACATTTTCTAAACTCCCATTTAGGATTGTGAATACCAATGTTTGTTTTAAATAGTGTAAAAAATAATGGCTTTTTAAAATTAAGTTTAATTTTCATAACTATTTGTCTCGAAAATATGAAACTAATAAAACACAAGTTGACATAATCTATAGGAAGGGACATATGTGTGTCTAGCATTAATGACTGTCAATAAACTGTGAATAGTACATTAAACATAAATCCACTACTACAATTTAAAATTAGAGAGTTAATTGTACTTTATCATGTCAACTTTACTGGATTAAACTCACAAGTTTCATGTTTATACATTCACATTATCAAAATAATTAAACACAATGAATTATTTGTTTTGCTTTGCTTTTTAAACGTTTTAAGTATTTTATTGTAGCTATTAAAGTAAGAAAGATTTCTTGCAAATATCGCGTAACATTTTTATTAACGTTTTTGCCAAAGAAAACTTTAGCTACTGACTTTGAATATGCATTGTTTGGGATGATATAACTGTATTTCGCTAGTCTTTCTAATCATACTAACATGAGTGTTTATTGAGTTCAACTATAAGATACTGGCTACTTTTTTGTTCAAATGTTCACATGTACACATGAATATATAAGTTAGACTTTTCTTTAAATTTTTTTCATGGATGCTGTCAAAGTTGTTGCAAGGGCTTTATTTGAATCCAAGTCCAACAAATTTGAAATCAACGAAAATTGTTACAATTAGTTAATTTCTTGGAGGCCAATTTGGTAATTCGGAAATGAGAATCCTCAAACTGATCATATTTTACCTGTGAGGGCGTCATAATGTGACGGTCAATCCCAATATTCATTAGTAAAAGAGTAGCCCAACAGTTGGCTGTGTGTGGTGTTGACTAGATACCTTCCCTCTAGCCTATCACTGCTAAATTAGAGATGGATTGCGTAGTTAGCTCTCGTACAACTGTGCACGAAATTCAAACCATATATAAGGATTTTCCCTCTTCCTTGTAAATATTTTACATTTACATAACGAAACTGACCAACTGGACAAAATTTACATTCACTACGTAATCTATAACATGCTGTTTTATTAGTTTTTAACTTTTATGTAGGGAAGTGCCAGCTAGAGTCCATGCGACATATGTCACGTGACC